TAAACTAACTGATTGCTGTTGGCTTAAGATTTCTGAGCATGTACTTTTTCTTTTCTTTTTTAAAGAAAAGCCATATCTTCTTTTTCTTGGATGTAGTTACCAGACTCTTGTCTGTTAGTGACGTTTTCAAAGCTTTGTTTTATTTTCAGTATGGGGATTGAACCCAGAAGCACTCTAACGCTGCCTTACATCTCCATCCCCCCTTTTTTAATATATATATTTTTTAGTTGTAGATGACAAGTACCTTTATTTTGTTTGTTTATTTTTATGTGATGCTGAGGATCAAACCCAGGGTTTCACAGGCTCTACGGCTGAGCCACAACCTCAGCCCTCAAAGCTTTATTTTATTGATCAGCAATACTGTAACTGTAAACAATGATGTTTTTCTGTTTTTATTTACATAGTTTATCTTTAACATCTGCTCTTTTTTTAAAGTAGCTTTCAAATTGTGCATGTTTCCTTAAAACTGGTACATAAAAATTGTACAGACTCATGTGGTTCTCTGTGATGTTTCCATACATGTATATACTGTATAATGTTCAAATCAAGGTAAATATCTTTCTCCTCAGATTATTTTTATTTCTTTATGGTGAAAACATTCAAGATCCTTTAGGGCTGGGGGAGTAGTAGCTTGGTGGTAAAATGCGTTGGGTTCAACCACCAGCATTTCCCATCCCCACCAAATATAGCACACTATTATTATTTACATCTAATTGGAAAAGTTATGTCCCTTTTTTCTTCTTCTGGCATTATCTCTACATTTTTAGATTTTGAAGGGGGGTACTGGGGATTGAATTCGGGCACTAGGCCACTGAACCACATCCCCAGCCCTATTTTGTTTTTTATTTAGAGATAGGGTCTCACTGAGTTGCTTAGTGCCTAAAAATTGCTGAGGCTGGGTTTGAACTCTCGGTCCTCCTATTTCAGCCTCCCTAGCTGCTGGAATTACAGGCCTGTGCCACTGTGCCCGGCTATTATACAATTTTTAAAAAAATATTTATTTTTTTTTGGTTATAGGTGGACATAATATTTTATATTTATGTGGTGCTGAGGATCGAACCCAGTATCTCACACATGCGAGGCGAGCGCTCTACTTCTGAGCCACAACCCCAGCCCCTACCTATATGTTTTTAACACATTTAAAGTTACTTCTCTTTCTTGTCTAGAATTAATCAGAATCTTTATGTTTTCTTCCTTTTTCCAACAAGGCAGAAATGCTGCTTGCTTTCACTTCCTACTCCTTTTTCTTCCTCTTTGACTTCCTATGTTGAAACCATGTAAGTATTTTAGTTCCAGATTGCTTGTTTTTCTAAAAGTCAGCATGTGCTGGTTTCTCTGCTTATAGCCCATGGATGAAAAGTTTCTTAGAGCTCTTGGATGTTTTAAAATTACGTTGATATGCATCTACTAATTATTGCAGAGGAAATCTTGGAGTAGTAAAAGTTGAGCTCTTTTGTGTGTGAAGATTTCTTTGCATTCCACTTGAAAGCTGGTTTAGCTAGATAAAAAGTTTCCACATCCTTTTCCTAATAACTTTGAAGCAGGTACTCCATTGTCTTCCACTAGTGCTCCATTGTCTTCTAGATCTGTGTTGCTGTTGAAAAGTCTGTTTACTTTTATGAAATTTATCTATCTTTGCAGGGATTCAGTTTTTTCCTTAGGATTTCCTGAAATTTCAGTAGGATGTGTCTAGGTCTTCCTTTTTCACTAGTTATATATAACACTTGGTGTTTTGACCTGATGATTCATGTCCTCTCTTTTCCCTAGAAAATTTCTGGAACTTGTATAATAGAGGTATTGAACTTTATGGTTCTATATTCTGTGTATCTACTTTACCTTCATACCTGAGAGGCAGTCTAGAAGAATTTGTTTTCCATTTTTTTTTCCTGCCCATTTTGTTGGTGAGTATGTCTATTAAGCTTTATTTTGGCAGTAGTTTCTTTTATAAAAATGTGTTTTTTGAAGTATAATTTACATAGAGTAAGCTGCAGCCATTTAAAGTATACAGTTTCACCCATTTTGACACAAATATTCACCTAGGTCTTGCTAGGCATAGTGGCACATGCCTGTAATCTCAGTGCCTTGGGAGACTGAGGCAGGAGAATCTCAAGTTCAAAGTCAACCTCAACAACTTAGCAAGACCCTGTCTCTTAATAAATAACAAAAAAAGGAGGGGGGTGCTGGGGATGTGGCATAATGCCTCTGGGTTCAATCCCTGGTGTACAAGAAAAACCAAATTACCTAGGTATATAGACATACAACCTCCATACTCCCAACAATCACAATTTGGGTTGCCATGGAAAGTGTTTTTCTGCTTTTGTGCAATTTAGTTCCTTCTGTCTAGCCTGTGATCTGCTTTTTCTCAGATGCAGAAGTGATTGGTTTGCATTTTTATATAAGTGGAATCATAAAGTAGGTAGCCTTTTGTACAAGGCTGCTTTCACTCAACCTGTTTTTGAGATTCATGAATGTTAAGTGTGTAATAGTTTATTTTTTGGGGGGGCATTTGAAATCATTTTCCTTTATAACTTGGAAATTAACATGGGTATACTTTATTTAAATTTTGCCAATTTTACTCAAGTTCTTTTGTGTATTTAGTTTTATATAATTTTTTAAAATACCAGTGTTACAAGTTTTATCTTTTTTTTTAATATTTATTTTTTAGCTGGACACAATATCTGTATTTTATTTTTATGTGGTGCTGAGGATCGAACCCAGGGCCTCGCATGTGCTAGGTGAGCGCTCTACACCGAGCCACAAAAAAATTAAAAATTTTTTCTCTGGTAGCTTATTCTTCATGGATGAGATCTCATTTTATGCCTGAGGACATTTAATATTCTCCTGGTTGTTCTTGCAGTTCTTCAGATACCAAGTTTATCATATTTGTGGCATTTATTTCCCTATGGTGACTCTAGCTTGTACAGTGGTCATCCCTGGTTTGAGTTTTGTTCTTCTGTTGGTGGATACAGTTTCTATTTACTGATCTGTCAGAGTGGACTATAGAGGAGAGATGGATGTATGTGTGGCCAGATGTGGGGACTCCCCATTATTTGTGGCTAACAGTAGCTACCCAGATGTCATCTTGATTATGGGACTATAGTGCCACTGAAGAGTTTGTCTCTGCAGGGGTGGAGTGGAGAGTATTGGAAGGGGGGAAGTGGGCCTATCTATTTGCATGAAATGTATTTCCCTACCATATCACTTAATCCTGCTTCCATTCCATGGCAGCCATCCTTGTTGGCAGCCTCAATGGATCATCCACCCTTACATCCTCTCCCATCTTTGTAGCTGCTCTCAGTTTTAATAGCATTCCTCTTGGGAGGGTTGTGGACTGATATTGCCTAGTTCTAGTAATATCACTTTTTTCTTTTTCTTATTTTGGTACCAGGGATTGAACCAAGGGTAGGGGCCCCAGCAAACTTCCAGCTGCCAGCTGATGATTGGCTCACAGCTGCCTCAGCAAACTTCTAGCTGCCAACTGATTGGCTCCTTTGGGGTGATGCTCATTGGGCTGTTTCCCCCGCCCTTTCAGACCACTGGGAGCTGCTCATTGGGGGACTTTTTGGCTCCGCCCACACAACCCAGCCAATCGGCCTCAAGAGCAGGAGGAGTGGGGGAGGTTGAGAGGCTTGTGGGAAGCAGGTGGTGGCAGTTGAGCTCTGAGGGTTTTTCCTGAGGAGCTGTGTGGTGTGGTGTGTGTGTTCTTAAAATAAAGTTAGTTTCTTTTGACAAGTGGCTCCTGAATTGTGCCCAGCCAGACTGCCGCAGGTACTTGACCACTAAGCTACATCCCCAGCCCTTTTTATTTCTTATTTTGAGACAGGGTCTCACTAAATTGCTGAGTCTGGCTTTGAACTCACGATCTTCCTGCCTCAGTCTTCTGAGCTGCTGGGATTACAAGCGTGCACCACCACGCCCAGTGTAATATCACTTTTTGTTCCAGAATTATTTTAGAAAAGGATATATCAGTAAATTGATATTTTAGCCATTTCTAGGAATTAGGGTGGGAGAGGAAGGCATGTATACCTGCAGTACATTTTGATCCAACTTCCTGAATTCTTTTGTTTTCTTTTTGTTGGAGAGGATTTTGAGGAGACTGATGTAACTTAAAGTCTATTGAAATCTTTTATTTTTAGGACATCATGTTTTGAGAGAAATTAATCACTGGTGCTTATTTGTTAGGTAGGGTAGGGAATTTCCTGTATCTTTAGTTTTAGTACTAAACCAGAGTTTTGAGTTCTCAATATTTCTCATTTAAGCCAGTTGGGGGCATGAAGATTTTCATTCTCCATCTTTGTTTTTCAGATATGAGCTTATTGTAGTCATTTTTTGGTGGGGGAGCATTGGGGATTGAACCCAGGGGCACTTAAAACTGAGTCACAGTCCCAGACTTTTTTATTTTTTATTTTGAGATAGAATCTTATAAGTTGATTAGGACCTCCAGAAGTAGCTGAGGCTGGCCTTGAACTTGTGACCCTCCTGCCTCAGCCTCCTGAGTCACTGGGATTACAGGTGTGTACCAGCACACTTGGTTTTTTTTTTTTTTTTTGTACCAGGGATTGAATTCAGGGGCCCTCGACCACTTGGTCACATCCCCAGCCCTGTTTTATATTTTATTTAGAGACAGGGTCTCACTGAATTGCTTAGCACCTCATAGTTGCTGAGGCTGGCTTTGAACTTGCGATCCTCCTGCCTTAGCCTCCTAAATCGCTGGGATTGCAGGCATGTGCCACCGCACCCAGCCACTTGGCTTATTTTTAAAAAAATATTTTATAGTACAGTTTGGACTTGTCTGTATAGGAAGGTTAGGTTGGCTTAATACTTTGATATTTTTCTTTTTGATCTTTGTCCTAGTTTTTTCCAAATCAGAGGCAGTCACATTTCTTCACCCCCTTTTGTATAGATTAATATCCCTTGGGAATCAGAGGGTGTGAAATAAGTTGCCAGCTGTAAACTCAGGTTTTTAGAAAAGCTGTTCTGACTTTTTTTTTCTTCCCTAGTTTTTCCATGGTTTGGCTTGGATATTGGTGGAACCCTGGTCAAGCTGGTTTATTTTGAACCCAAAGACATCACTGCTGAAGAAGAAGAGGAAGAAGTGGAGAGTCTTAAAAGCATTCGGAAGTACTTGACCTCCAATGTGGCTTATGGGTCCACTGGTATTAGGGACGTGCACCTGGAGCTGAAGGACCTGACTCTGTGTGGACGCAAAGGCAATCTGCACTTTATACGCTTTCCCACTCATGACATGCCTGCTTTTATTCAAATGGGCAGAGATAAAAACTTCTCGAGTCTCCACACTGTCTTTTGTGCCACTGGAGGTGGAGCATACAAATTTGAGCAGGATTTTCTCACAGTATGCATTTTTTAGCTTATATACAATTTATGGTAATTTGATTGTTAAAAATAATGCCAATTGCAAGTGGTAAAATTATTTCCATTTCTAATGGAACTTGAATTTTCTTTAGTGCAATGAAGACTAAATATAAATTAGTAATAGGAGTTAGCTATCTAGAGATAGCTGTGTTGATGAGAATCAGGACCTCTAAAAGCATTGCATTTTGTCATTCCTCTCCATGAATACTTATTGAGTCTGGGATAAACAGAAGAACAGTGAGCTTGAATAATAAAACTTAAAAAACCCTGTCATAAAATTGTTTCCAGACTCATCTATCATATGATTCTTCTGCCTTCCTTTGTGCTCTGTGTTCACTGAGTCTGTCCACCACATCTGTCCCTGAGGGCAAGAGTCACCCAGCACTTGATTTTGCCTTCTTTCTGTGAACAGTGAGCAAGGCCTTGAGCCTAGGTCTTTTGAGGATGGATGTCAGGATAGGTGTAAGAATTGACTAGTGAATGGCTAAGACCCTAACCTTCAGGGTTCAATACAGATTTAAAATGTCTCTAGTGACCATGTTTTTCATGCCACCTAATGAGAATATTAGACCAAGGGAGATTCTGCCTTTGTTTTATTCTACACATCTTTCTTTTTTTCCCTTGTATGTCATTATTATATGGTTTGTGACCTTGCCCTCTTTCTTTGTTCTCTGTGTCCTGACTTTTTCCCTGTAACTGGCCGGAGTCGTCACAGTATGAAATTGACGTGAATTATTTAACAGGGTTTTATATTCTTTGTTTGGATTTTTCTTGGTTGCTGTTTTTCAGTGGGGTTGCTGTTTTTCAGTGGTTTCTTTTTCCTCCTGTGAGTACAGGAGAGGTAGCCGTAGAGAGGCTTATGTCCTTTGTGGAAGTCTTCTAGTGGGCTTTGGACTATAAACGAGAGGAGAAAACCTCTCTGTTTCTAGGATTCAACAGAGTTCTTTGCAACATACTTGAAAACTATTCAGGCTGTTAGAGGATCATGTTGCGTGATTATCCAAGGAGAGGGTTCAAAGTGGATTTTATGCCTTAGGAATTGGTTCTTGGGAATTCTCTTTTGTATGCACCATGCTGTACTTTAAAACTATATGAAACAAATGCCTGTCAAATTGTGTATTAGGAGTGATTAATATTATAAAGAGAATTTTTTAAAACCTGAGTTTCTTTTTTAATGTGAATCATATTTTCTTATTATTTTTAGTTTGCTTCTTGGCACTAAATTTATATTCTGAATAACTTGGAATAGTTAAATTACCTGTGAATTCAGTCATTGAATATGTCACTTGGGCTGAGATTCATTAGAAATAATATCACAGCAGGATATGTAAGGATAAAATGAGAAATTGATTTGACATACACTATCAGAAAATGACTTGGGTTCTAATAGGCCACTGGTGTCAAATGATTTGGTTTAGGAGTGAAAATACTGGCACTTAGAGATGCAGGGAAGTCAACTTTGAATTCATCTTGACATGGGGGAGTGGCTAGATGAAATGACAGTGATGAACACTTAAAGGGTTTTGGATTTGGTCCCAGGAGTAGCTTAATATTCTTAATTAATTAAATTAAGGATCCATCCAAGGCTGTCCATTAACTCTTTTTCATAACCCACAGTGGCTGTGAATAAATTGAATGTAAATGTAATCAAATGGGATTTGGATTAAAGAGGGAAAATTTGATGGGCTAAACTTGGTTATAAACAGAATCAGGTACTTCAGGGAGTTGAGCCTTGTAAACATCCAGATGGTTCAGAAGTTCATAGACATGGCAGTCTGTATCAGCTCTCTTAAGTACTGTGAAAAGTTTATATATCTTAAGTTTTTCTGTGCATGTCTGTGTATGACACATGTGCGTGTAAACATGGTTTAAAAAAAAAGTCAAATTGGGCCATATTTTATAAAATGGCTTCCAATTTGCTTTTTGACTGACAGCATGTCTTGTGATTCTTTCCATTTTAATACATATAGATCTTTATTCTTAATTGCTATGCCAATTCCATAATGTTGAATAATTTCTTTATTAATTACTTACAAGGAATTAAGTTAAAAAAATGATTTCAATTTTGATATGGCTAACCCGACCTTCCCTAGAGCTATAATCAGTTTAAATAGGGAGAAATTTTCTAATTGGATATTTGAAGCCCTTTGGCTTTAGGTTAAATAGTAAGATGTGGCTTCTTTTGATACTTCTCCATAGACTTGAATCTGGTCTTTTGGAAAGCTGATGTCAGAGTCTTTATGGCTCCTGCAGTTGTCACCAGTTACTCTCTAATAGAGATATGGCTTAATTTGTGCACCTGCTTCATTGTCCCTGTGAACATAGATCTTGTTTTCTCCTTGACAAGTTGGTGAGCATTCACTTAAGATTTTTGGCACACTTCTTCAGCTGCTGCAGTAGTTTGTATGTAGAGTATATTTGGGTCTATGGGAGCAGGTGTCTGTCTTGGCAGGCCATCCCTATGTGTTGTCCCTAAATCTGTTCTGTAATGCTCTGTATCAAATAATACATATCTGTGGGTGTATTTTTATGGTGTGTCTAACGTAGAGGGGATGTCTTTTTAAACAGAAGTTTTTATTTCTATTGGTTTGTTAAAAAGTCTGAATACAGTCTTATTTTATTACAGATAGGTGATCTTCAGCTTTGCAAACTGGATGAACTAGACTGCTTAATCAAAGGAATTTTATATATTGACTCAGTTGGTTTCAATGGACGGTCCCAGTGCTATTACTTTGAAAATCCTGCTGATTCTGAAAAATGTCAGAAGTTACCATTTGAGTTGAAAAACCCATATCCTCTGCTTCTGGTGAACATTGGCTCAGGGGTTAGCATTTTAGCAGTGTATTCCAAAGATAATTACAAGAGGGTCACAGGAACAAGGTAAGTCTTTTATAGAGAAGTCATTGTTTATTCTTAGTATCATACTAGGTTAACTGAGTTTTCAGGTATTATATGTAACTGTACCTGCAAGAACTGGTTAAAATTATGTACCTTTAATGTCTTGCTGAGGATTTTATTACTACGGTTTAATAAAACGTTGCATCAGTAGACTCATCAATCAAGTTCATGGTCCTGGCCCTCAGTTGATTTATGATGCATTTATACAAAGTAGATAAAATTACTAGGTAGCATCTAAGAAGGGAAAGCCCTGTAGATTTTGTGTGATAATTTAAAAAAATATATACATATTTATTAGTTGTAGATGGACACAATACCTGTATTTTATTTATTCTTATGTGGTGCTGAGTATGGAATCTAGTGTCTCACACATGCCAGGCAATGTACCGCTGAGCAACAACTCCAGTCTGAAATCTGTAGGTTTTATACATCTGTACAAATACACATATTTACACACTTATGCACACATGTGATCAGAAGAAGGTAGTCTGAAAAGGGAGGAATAAGTGGAAGAAGAGAGTGAATATGTTTTGGTTTAAGAATCAGGTCACTTGAAAAACAAGGATCTGGGATTAGGATAAACTTTTTTTGCGGGGGGTAACTGGGGATTGAATCCAGGGGCACGTCACCACTGAGCCACAATTTTTATTTTGAGACAGGGTCTTGCTAAGTTGCTTAGGGCCTCATTGAGTTTCTGAGGCTGACTTTGGATTTGGGATTCTCCTGCCTTAGACTCTGGGATTAGAGTCACTAATAGGCATGTGCTACCATGCCCAGCTGAATAAACAATTTTTTTTTTTTTTAAACAAGAGTGAGCAAAATAATGAGAGGAGGCTGTGTGTGGTGGCACACATGCCTGTAATCCCAGTGGGTTAGGAGGCTGAGGCAGGAGGATCATGTGTTCAAAGACAGCCTCAGAAACTTAGTGAGGCCCTAAGCAACTTGGAGAGGCCCTGTCTCTAAATAAAATATTAAAAAGGGCTGAGTGTGTGGCTCACATCTAGGGTTCAAACCCAGGTACCCAAAAAAAAAAAAAAAAAATGTTGGAGAAAACAGATTAGTGGAGTCTGATGGGGTGCCAATGAGCCAGGGTGATAAAGTGCTTGAATGAGAATAACTTCAGTGAGTACGCAAAGAGGGAAAATGAGACAGTGCCACTGTGACTGGTCCCAGGTATGGGGCTAAACTGTAACTGAGGCTCTTTATACCTACTAGCACCCTGACTGCTCTCAGAACTTGGGAAGGGAAGGGCTGGAATTGTGACTGAGCGCTTGCCTCGTACATGTGAGGCCCTGGATTCGAACCTCAGTACCACATAAAAATAAAATTAAAAAAAAAATGCCAGCGGGCTCGCCTGGCATGCGTGCAGTCCAGGTTCTAGCCTCAGCACCACATACAAACAAAGATGTTGTGTCTGCCGAAAACCAAAAAATAAATATTAAAAAAAACTCTCTCTCTCTCTCTCTTTAAAAAAAAAAATAAAATAGAGGTATTGTGGCAACATACAACTAAAATATATATATATTTAAAAATATATTTTAAAAAGTTACCCACTAAGTAAATGAGCAAAAATTTAAAAGTACTTAATGATAAAACTATGTAAAGCTAATCAAGGGAATGCAAATTAAAACCAACTTGTAGGGTTGGGGTTGTGGCTCAGTGGCAGAGTGCTCGCCTAGGGTTTGATCCTCAGCACTACATAAATGTAAAATAAAGATATTGTGTCTACCTAAAACTAATAAATAAATATTTAAAAAAAAGTCCTCATTTAAAAAAAAAGAACTTGGGAAGGGAGGCGGGCCCTATGTTTTGCTGCTTTGCTTGTCTGATGAATGTGTCCATCCAAGGTGTCTATGAAGCAGACTTTTTCATATCAAAGGCTTGTTTCTTACTGATGGCATCTGCAGGATTGTATTGGGGCAAGAGTGAATTGACGTGAATACTTTTAGGGGTCATAATTTTTACTCATCTATTCCTATTTTTTTAAAATATTGTACTTTATTGCTTGTTTTTAATTACAGTCTTGGAGGAGGAACTTTTTTTGGTCTCTGCTGTCTTCTAACTGGCTGTACCACTTTTGAAGAAGCTCTTGAAATGGCATCTCGTGGAGATAGCACCAAAGTGGATAAACTAGTGCGAGACATTTATGGAGGAGATTATGAGAGGTTTGGATTGCCAGGCTGGGCTGTAGCTTCGAGGTAAGGGAGCCTGTGATTTCTAAATAGTACAGGAATATGATATTAAGTACCTGACATATGTTTTCTTTTAAGCAGCTTTATTGAAATATAATTTATGTACTGTGAAATACCTGGTTAAAGTGTGTAACTTAGTGGTTTCTAGTATATTTCCAGAACTGTGCAGCCATCACCATGATCCAATTTTGGAACATTTTCATCTCCTGGAAAAAAGGCTTATATTTATTGGTTGCCACTCCCTGTTTGCCCACCTCCAGCCCTGCCTAATACTAATCTACTTTTTTTTTAACATTTATTTTTTAGTTATAGGTGGACACAATATCTGTATTTTATTTTTATGTGGTACTGAGGATCAAACCCAGTGCCTCACACATGCTAGGCATGCATTGTACCTCTTGAGCCACAACCCCAGCCTTTAATCTACTTTTTGACTCTGTGGATTTGGCCTCTCCTGCATATTTCCTATTGTATCATACATGTGCTGTTTTATGACAGCTTCTTTCACTGAGCATATGTTTTCAAAGTTCATTTTTACTTTATCATGAATGTTTACTCCTTTTTGTTGCTGAATAATATTCCATTATATGCATATACCACATTTCACTCATTTATCAGTTGATAAACATTTGGGTTGTTTTCCACTTTCTGGCTGTTTTTTTTTTTTTTAAATATTTATTTTTTAGTTGTAGTTGGGACATAATACCTTTATTCTATTTATTTTTATGTGGTGCTGAGGATTGAACCCAGGGCCTTGTACATGCTAGGTGAGCGCTCTACCGCTGAGCCACAACCCCAGCCCTTTTTGGCTATTTTTATGAATGATGCTGAATTTGGTGTACTTGTCTTTGTGTGGACACTTTTTAATTCTCTTAGGTGCATCTTTTTAATTAGGTGCGTATCTAGGAGTGGAGCTTCTAGGCCATGTGGTAACTTTATGTTTAATCTTTTGAAGAAGTACTAGACTGTTTTCTAAAGTGTCTGCACTGTCTTACAACCTGGGTTTTTAAAGAGTGTTAAGTTTTTTTCATGTCCTTCAGCCTGTTTATCTTTTTGGTCTTAGCTGTCTTAATAGGCATGAAGTGATTTTTTTTTTTTTTTTTTTCTTTTTAAACTAGGAATTGAACCCAGGGGCACTTTACTGCTGAGCTACATCCCCAGTCCTTTTTATTTTTTATTTTGAGTCAGGTCTCATTGAGTTTGCTTAGGGCCTCACTGAGTTACTGAGGCTCGCTTTGAACTTAAAATTGTCCTGCCTTGAACTTACAGTTGTCCTGCCTCAGCCTCCTGTATCACTGGGATTACAGGTGTGCATTACTGTGACCACACGCAGTGATAGTTCATTGTGGTTTTTATTTGCATTTCCCTAATGGCTAGTGATGAACAGTTTCACATGTGCTTATTGGCCCTATGTCTGTTACCTTAACACCTATGTCTGTGTTCAAATCGTACCAATTTTTTCTTGTGGGGCATAGTGGCACAAGCCTGTAATTCCAGCGGCTCAAAAGGCTGAGGCAGGAGGATCACAAGTTCAAAACCAGCCTCAGCAAAAGCAAGGTGCTAAGCAACTCAGTGAGACCCTGTCTGTAAATAAAATACAAAATAGCGCTGGGGATGTGTTCAATTCCTGGTACCAAAAAAAAAAATTTTTTTTCTATTGTTTTTATCTTAATATTGAATTACAAGAGTTGTTTATATGTTGAATACAAGCTCCTTATTAGAGATTCAATTTGCAAATATTTTCTCTCCTTTTATATTATCTTTTCTTTGATGGTGTTCTTTGCAGCATAGTTTCAAATTTTGGCAAAGTCCATCTTTGCTTTCTCTCTCATCTCTTGTGCTTTTAGTGTCATAGATAAGAATTCATTGTCTAAGATCGTGAAGGTTTACTTCTGTATTTTCAGTTCATATATTTAGGTCTGTTACCCACTTTGAATTAATTTTTATATATGGTGAGAAGTAAAGGTCCAAATGCCTTTCTTCTTTATTGTGTTGCTATCTAGTTGTCCCAGCACCTTTTGTTGTAAAGAGTGTTCTTTCCCTATTGAATGTCTTTGGTCCCTTTGTCCAAAATCAATTAACCAGTAATTACATTATAAAGGATTCCTGATCCAGTCCCAAAAGGAAAAAAAAAAAAAAAAAAAAGTGAGAGAGAAAAAAAAGGAAATCAATTGACCATAGATGTTTAGGTTTATTTCTGGACTCTTAGTTCTTTGTCACTAATCTGTCTGTCCTTAAGCCAGTATCACACTGCCTTGGTTACTGTAGCTTTGTATTAAGTTTTGAAATTAGGAAAACCAAGTCTTCTAACTTGTTCTTTTTTGGCTATTTTGAGTTTCTTGAATTTCTATATGAATTTTAGGATCAATTAGGCAATATCTGCAAAGAAGACAACTTAGATTTTGATAAGGATTGAGTTGAATCTATTGACTAGTTTACAGAGAATTACCATCTTAACACTGTAAGGTCTTCTGGTCCAAAAAGATGGAATATTGTTCCATTTATTTAGGTCTTTGCTTTTTTTTTCAACAGTGTTTTATAGATTTCAGTGTAAAAGCATTTACTTTTTTTTTTGGTACCAGGGATTGAACCCTAGGGCGCTTAACCACTGAGCTGCACCCCCACCCCTTTTTTATATTTTGTTTAAGAGACAGGATCTTGCTGAATTGCATAGAGCCTTGCTAAATTGATGAATCTGGCCTTGAATCTGCAATCCTCCTTTCTCAGCCTCCCAAGCTTCTGGGATTACAGGCGTGTGCCACGGCTCCTGGCTACCATTATACTTTCCTTAAATGTTCCCTGAGTGTTTTATTCTCTTTGTTATTATATATGGAATTGTTTTGAGATTGTATAGCAATTCAGTTGTATATTTAGGCACATGGATTTTAATAGAAGAGACACTCATTTATACATGTTGCTCACTAATTTTAGGCGCTTAGTGCCATAGATTTTATTTTGTTTGCAGCATTTGCTCATTGGTCCTGACTTTCTTTTTCTGATTGCCTAGGTTTTTGTTCTGGTCAAGCAGCAATTCTTATGGTCAAGAAATTAACTTGACACTCTTAAGTAGCTCATTTTAGACTCAGCTCCCTGCACTTTGCTTTGCTCTGATAAAGTAGTTTACTAAATGTAAATGTGAGCATCTGAGTAGAACAGCTATGTGTTTGGGATGGATTGCTGATAGAACTGTCTGTGATGGCAGAAAGGGTGCTGCCTTCCGTGGGACTATCTGGGTGTCAAAGCTGGGTGTTGGTAGACACCACAGGGAAAGCTGCCTGTTCATTTAGAATGCTTGTGGGCTCTATTTGAAGCTGAGTTCTCTGAGCAGATGCTTAGGTGCTTCATCATTTGTGAGATAAGAAGTTGGAAGACGTGAACAGTATTGCCCTAAAGAATCGTTTTATCTTAGTAAAGTAAAATTGAAGTTCCATTGGGCTGTGTTGCCTTTGGTTTAGCAATGGGATATTTTTTTCCCATCACAGCTTTGGAAACATGATGAGCAAGGAGAAGCGAGAGGCTGTCAGTAAGGAGGACCTCGCCAGAGCAACTTTGATCACCATCACCAACAACATTGGCTCCATAGCAAGAATGTGTGCCCTTAATGAAGTAAGGGGACATGGGTTTTTTATGTTGCTCTAAGGAAAATACTGAACTTCCTAAGTGGCCCCACCTTGATGTTAAGCTTTTTTCTTCTTAGAACATTGCCTACATATAGTTGTGTGGTGGACTTTTGTTTCAGTGCAAAGTTAAGATTTCTTCTAATACAGGTTAATCTTCACTGATTTATTTTTTCTTCTTACTGAAGATAACACTGCTACTGTCTAGGTAAAATGACCTTTTGAGGAGAAAGTAGAGGGAATTAGGAAGATAGCTAGTGTTGAGATGATGGGGAGTGGGGAGGTGGGCTGTGATGGGTAATGATGTTGAATCGAGACTCCATGCTCATTGGGAGCAGTAGAGGCTCGGGAAAGGAATCCACAGAAGTCACTGAAGCTGGGAGAAGACTGAGCAGGCAGAGGAATGTCACCCTGGCTCCCCTCTACTTCAGCAGAGCTGCGTCTTTGTGCTTTCAGCTTCTTTACAGTGCTGCCTTGTAGCATTCAGGTCAAGCAGCATTGTACAGGGCTATGAAAGAACCAAGAATGGGCTGCCCTTGGGGAAAGAGAACTTAGGATCTAGTTGGTGCAGCTTGATGTCCCTAGTTATACATTTTTGTTTAAAGTTATTCTTTAGATAATACAGTCATGCAGCTTAAAAGGAAACTTCAGAAGACAGAAGGATTTTTCTCATTTTTAAATAAAAAAAAATTTGGATGGGATCAAATAATTAAATTTCTTCATTTTAATATAACACTTTTTTCTTTATTGCATGTTCCCTTTCCTGTGCTTATGTATTGTAAGGTAGCTAGCATACATACCATTTCATATATTTTACTTAAGTATTATACATTTCTTGGTTGCATATTTGATTGGGTTCATCTGTGTCATGGATTATTCACATAACTTTGGCATTTCACATGCTGGATATTTGGTTGCTTGCCAGTGATAACTCTTCAGTAAGCAGTTTTAAGTGTGAAACTACTCTTTGGCTCAGTTTTATTCTTGATATGGGACTTACTCAGGAGTGAGACTTCAGGTCTTAAGAGTATGACCATCTTATGAATCTTGGTGCATATTGCTGTGATACTTCACACACACTGCGCCCCTTTAGATCATCTTTAGCAATGAATTAATGGATCCATTGTACTGCAGTTTTACTAATGTTGGGGGTAGAATTTCAGGTAGTTTTTTTTTTTTTTTGTTAATAGTTCTATAATTTTGCTTTCTTTGATCATTAGTGAAGATGAATTTTTCCAACTTGCATATCGTGTGATCTGCCTGTTTGTGTTGCTTTGCTCTTTTTGAATTGGGTTATAGTTTTTAATTGTGTAACAAATTTACTTAAAATTAGTTGTCATTTGTCATATTTAATACGAATGTCTTTCTTAATCTGATTTCTTCTTCTGTGACATTTTTGGGCATGCTTTTGCAGTTGTTTGGGAATCAAAATTTCAAAGTCTTGGACCAAATGGAATAAATTTGATCATCAGTCAAGTTGCTGCATGGTCCTCTGTTGGGGTAACTTTTATGAAAAAACAGAAATTAAGATGCAAACTAATTGCCTTTTTTTGATGTGCTCAGAACATTAACCAGGTGGTATTTGTTGGAAATTTCTTGAGAATTAATACGATCGCCATGCGGCTTTTGGCATATGCTTTGGATTATTGGTCCAAGGGACAGTTGAAAGCACTTTTTTCAGAACATGAGGTAAGTGGATTTGTTTCTGGTGATGTGTCATATATACAAAAGTGCACAGTTGTAGTGGAACTTGAAGGACAGGTGAACTGGGTTGCAGTATTTCTGTTTTTTKTTTTTTTTTTTTTGTAATTGTATGAGGTGGAGTTTAACTTTGTAATGTTTGAAAGCTTTTTCAAAAAATCTGATATGTAGTACAAAGTAGATTTTTGGCTATTTTAATTGTAAGTTTAAGCAATTTTAAAGAAAATAATTTTTTTGTTGTTGTTGTCATGGTGCTGGGGATCAAACTCAGAGCCTGCACATGCTAGGCAAGTGCTGAGCTATCCTGTATTCTTTTTAAAACAATCTTTATTTTTTTCTCATTGCACTGACTCTGAAAACGCAGTTGTTCTGGGTTTTTACTTTTTTCACTTTTTTGATGTCAGTTATTATGTATTGATATAAAATTCATGTACTATTTAGGATGTATATTCTAAAAATGAATGGATCAGTGAAAAAACATTCTAGACTAGAACCACATTATTGTAAGAACATGTAGACAGATAGAAATGACAAAGTGGAGAGGAATCATTAAATTGTTCAACCTGATATCCTATCTTGGAAAGTGCCCTTTTTTACTGTTTGGGAAAAAATGGGACCAAAGCTGTAGAAGAGTTTCTCTCTTTTCTCTGTTTGGTTGTTGGGCAGTTGAACTATTAAGTGTTGTTGGAGTTCAGGTAGTACTACCATGAACATTTTTCAGAATTGTATGTGGGTATTTATTTTAAGTGTTTACATGGATTGACAGAAATCAAAGTAGGATTTGAGATGTTGTAAGTAAAAATTATTTTTTTCCTTTAAAGTTGTTCTAAGTTTTTCTTTTTAAATTGTTCAAGTTCATAGTTAAAATCCCAACTACATAGAGTCCCCATATCAAAAAGCATTATCAAAGCCTAAAGTCATCTAATTTTTTTATCTTAGTAAATCAATACAGAATTTGGCCATAAGTTTCATATAGTTCATAAGTTTTGTGAATTTTGCTTTTATTATCCTTGACCTGTTTTGTTTTACTTTGTTAGAATAAAAATAAACTTTATTTATGTTACGTGATAGTATAAATTTCCTCCTGTATTATTTTTACTCTTTTTGAAATTTTCCTAGGTAGAACTTAAGAGATTAGTTTCTTAGCCTTTTTTAAACTTACACCCTCATATCATAATAATAGTTGAGTATCTCTAGTTATGAAATTTGAAATCTGAAACTCTTTTTGTACAGGGGATTTGAACCCAGAGGTGCTGTATTACTGAACTGCATCTCCACCCCACCCATATATATATAAATTATTGCCAATGGATCTTTATTTTATTTATTTATATATGGTGCTGAAAATCGAACCAAATGCCTCACATGTGCTCTACCACTGAGCTACAACCTCAGCCCATCTCTGCCTCTTTTTTATTTTGAGATAGGGTCTTGCTAAATTGCCCAGGCTGGTCTCAAACTTCAGTTCTCCTACCTCAGCCTCCCAAGTAGCTGGAATTACAGGTGTGTGCCATCACATCTGGCTGAAATAAAAAACTTTTTGAATGCCGATAAGCATTTTTGGATTTTAGATTTTTGAATTAAGCATGCTCCAACTGGTAAAGTCTGTGAATATTTTAGACCACTTCTAGGCCCAAGCATTTTGAGTAGGGGATGTGCAACCTGTAATTATAAATCTTTTTTTTTTTTTTTTTTTTGTATCAGGGATTGAACTAAGGGCACTTAACTCACTGAGCCACATCCTCAGACTCCCCGTTTAGAGATAGGGTTTCCTTAAGTTGCTGAGGCTGGCTTTGAACTTGGGATCCTCCTGCCTCAGTCTCCTGAGGTGCTGGGATTATAGGCATGTGCCACTGCACCCAGCTGTAGTTAGAAATCTTTTTAAACCCTCATGTGTCTACAGTTTGTCATCTTTCCTGCCTGCTGACATCATTTTTCCCTCTGGTTAGTATTGTTGCAGTGTTTGTCCCCGTGTTCTCCATTTGTGATCAGGACTCTTACTCTAGTGTTGATCACTGCCCTTGTGGAATTTTGATCTTGAAGTGTTCTCCTGCCCCACCACAGCAAAGCAGTTGGTTTAACAGTTTTAAAGCTGTGTGTGCATTCTTCTCAAGCCTTCCTTCTCTCATCCTTTACCATTGTCATCCCAGCACTTCTTGGTCTACAACAGCCTGTCTTTATAAAGTAGCTTCTGGGTCTTCTGTGGTTAACTCTTATTTATTTTAATTGTAAAATAAAGCACAGACACTGGAAGCTACATACAGCAACATGTGCTGTTGGTATAAGATGACACCTATGTCTGTTCTCTGGCAGAGTTCCCAAGCATAGCTGTCTCTTGGCTGTGTCACCTTTATAATTCTGGCCTTCTAGTTAATACAAATGGATGTGACTGCCTTTTTGAAAAACTGAGAAATAGAGTGATAGGGCAGGCTTCAGCCTTGCTGCTGTTTCATCACGTTTCTTGAGCTAGCTCTGTGTGTGTGTGTGTGTGTGTGTGTGTGTTAATTTTTTTATTTATTCTTTTTAGATATATATGTGAGCTAGTTTTTCTTGAAAGACTAAACCTCACTATTAAAGATATTTTAGACATTTTTAATATCTTTGAAATTCACAGTCAAATTGTTCAGGATCTTCCCGCATTCCTTTTTTAGTTATTTCTTTTTTAAAGTTCTTCAATACTTGATCTCATGCTCTTAGAGACCTTGATGGATTCTGTAACATTGTGGGTTTCCTGTCTGATTCCTGCTGGCATTCTTGTCAGTGTGGATTTTGTACCACTTTCTTTAACGTTTTATATCCTTTTTGTTTGGATTTGGGGTTCTCTTTCAGCTGCTGCTTCTCAGTCCTCCCTCATTGCTGTCTACTCCTGTGCTTCCTGCTCTGGTCTAGTGGATCCAGTGACTGCTGGGCACAGCTGCTCCTTTGGCATTCTGTAGGAAACCTACCTGCCTTGTTCTCCACATTTCATGCTCCTGTGTTCCCAATCTCAGGGTTGGTGTTCTCAGACTTTCCCTGCTGCCCTCATCCCCTCCTTTAGACGCACCTTGAATTTGTTCTACTTCCTCCTCATCCTTCCACCTCCAGCCAGGCAGGCCCTCAGCTGTGACACATCCTGTCATCTTCATTCATTACTTGTCTGAAAAATGTGCCAGGCCTCAGCTGGTTCTCACCTCTTTCTTCAGGACAATCCAGGAATCATCTTTTACCAGAATAACTGAGCTGCTGTTGGCCCCACCACTGCTCCTGGAAAACCCACCATGGGTTTGATTTTTCTTTTTTGGGGGTGGTGGTGTTAGTGGTGATGTATTAGGGATTCAACTCAGAGGTGCGTTACCACTCTACATCCCCAGCCCTTTTTATTTTTTGTTTTGAGACAGGGTCTCTATGTTGCTGAGGCTGGTCTCGAACTTGCGATCCTCTTGCCTCAACCTCCTGAGTCACTAGGATTACCACTGCTCCTGGCTGGGCTGGTGTTATTACACAGTGGTCTGATGTGTGTGGGGTGTCTTGTACCTCCACCCCCTCCCTGGCTAGGGAGCTCCTCAGGCCTTTCCTGTTCCCAGGCTGGCCTTGGGCCTGCTGCTAGTGCTCAGGAGTTTAGGGTGATGTTGATTTTAATACTAGTAATTGTATTTGTGGTAGTTGAAATAAATCAAAGGAAAATTGCTCTTATTTTTGCTGTATTGTTTTTCAGGGTTATTTTGGAGCTGTTGGAGCACTCCTGGAGCTGTTGAAGATTCCCTGATTGTTACCTGGGAGGGCATCCTGGAAATTTCGACAATGGGATCTGTGGACTTTTGTATTTTAAAAGACTTACTCAGTTTTATGATCGTGTACTACCCGAATCAAAGCGAGAAATGATGTGTATTTTTCTAAGTCATCAAGATAAATCCTTAAAAAATTCAGTCTAAACTAGCAACCAGTAAGGAAAAATGCATTAAAAAACAAGTGGACCATGTTCAGGCAGCATGAGGATTGCTGTGTTTAAGTTGCCTTTCAGGGTAGCGCTGTTTCACCTGTGGTGTTTTTGTAAATCTCGGCATAACTCACTGCAGACACCTTGGAAGAGCTGTCCCACGTTGAGCTGGCTGTGGTTGTGCATCCTGTTTTGACTTGCTATATGCAAGATAGGCTGCTGTGTGTGATAATCTAATCACTGTTTTCTCAGTTCGGCCTTAGAGATCACCTGTGCATTACTCTGGTTTGCATTTAGCCTGTGTGTGTACATATTGAAAAATAGTTTAAGCTTCTAAAAACTTAATTGGGTTGGTTAATTCTGTTCCTGAAACTGAAAAAGCAACTTTTAGAAGGGCAGCTCTGTGTTACTTCTCTAAATCATGGCAAGATCTGTATGGAAGGAGAAAATTGCTGGCAGAATTCCCTAGGGTAAGGGGCATAATGACCTGACCAAAGTGGGTGAGCTAGTGGAAAAAGCAGAGGCTGGCAGTGTGACACCAAAGAGCCCCTGGAATTGATGGCTCTTCAAGGGGCCATGTAGAGAGTATCCTTTCAGGCTGAGTAGCAGATGAGGAATTGAGGTGTCTGCTGATTAACTGTGGGAGCCTCTGGTGCTTGGGGGTTTCAGACTACTTGAGTGTCTTGCTAAGGGCTGGACCTTTTCTTTCTGCTGTGCAGAATAATTTAAGAAGCCTTCCCCTTGGAGACAGCGCAGCTTTTATATCTAATGTGCCAAGTGATGTGGGAATCACAGTTGAAGGCAAGGAAAGGCCTGGTATAAAGCAGCCTTATAACCAGAAGGAAGGTCTTAAGACCCTCCCTGTTCTGTGATCTCCACATGTAGCTCAGTTTCTTTCTGGGGTGGAAGGGAGGGGTGAGTAGGGCGCAAGATAGGGTGTGGGCTGTGTGATGGCAGCAGAGGGCCGGCTCACGCAGGGCGTCCCATAGCTTTTTCCCCGAGGGACATGTGCCTTTATGCATGTGCCTTGACACATCTAGAGGGTGGGTCCAGCTGGGCTGGGGCCTCCTGCAGCAGAGTAAGAGGAATGCTGCTGGGATGGCAGTTCACCCTTATTGCAGCTGCTCATCTCTAGGTCTTCCACTCTCAGTTGTCTGCTTGTTGGCTGCACTTTCTCCTTGTTACCAAAACCACCACCAGCACCATCTACCCACTTGTACTGGGACTGGAGGTGGGGATTTCTCAGCTTATGGGCCCTTGGCTTTCCTGCTCTGCTGGGCAGATTATTCCTGTGAACTTCCATCTCACGGAGCACATGAGGTTATGACAGTGTTCCACATGGGCAGCCTCCTCGGCCCTGGCTATTCCTACAGTATAACACAGAAGGAAACTGAAGCCCAGAAGAGCAAATATACCCAAGGTCACACAGCTGGTAATGGGCAGAACTGGAATCAAGCCCAGATCTGTCTGGATCCAGAGTATGAGCTGTGAATGTCTCGTTGGCCTTCCTTCAACCCACTGCTCCTCTCTTGAAGCTGTTTTTCTTCACTTTTTACCTTGTGTTCAGCCCACTCTGTCATTCCATGGGAGTGTTTTTGATAGGCTACCAGTGAACCTAAAGTTACAAATCTAATGGATGTTTCAGGATCTTACCTGCGTCAGCTCTTAGCAGGCTCCTCTTGCTTCTCTGCCTCGTTGATTATTTCCGTCTTTGCCAGCTTGTTCTCTGATGACAGATGGTGTCGTCCTCAGACACAATCCTGGATCTCCTCAAGCCATCTCTACAATCCTGGATCTCCTCAAGGCAGCCCCCCACCCAGACCTGGCCCTTAAACTAAAGCCCTAGACACTATTTCCTCTCCACCTGTGGACTTCCACGCTATCCCTACAGATATGCATATCCTTATCCAAGCTTACTGCCATCTCGCCACCTCCAGCCCATAAGGTGCACTCTGGGTGGTCACCATAGCCAACATCCTGTCTGCTCTCAAGTGGTTGTCCTAGTCTGCTTTCCACCTGGTGGCCTGAGTGTCTCACCTTATCCTAATGCCAGAAGCAGTATGTGGGCTGTGGCTATGGTGCAGAGAAAAATATATGGCCTGAACTGATAGGAGGAGGGTGGCTGGTCAGGGGTAGGAGGTGGCAGGGTGTAGGGAGGTGAGGGCGTAAGGGCACCTATGTTTGATTTTGGACTGTCAAATAGGCACCTGAGTTTTTAGGTCAGATATAGAGCTGGGTAATGCGCATGCAGATGGGAAAAGCAAGGGGATTTTGTGAATTCCAAGAGCATGAGAAAAATAATAGTAATGAAATGGGCAGTGAAGGAATAAGAGACAAAACAAGCTATTCATAGAGGCCTGTGGCTCAGACTAAGGGCATGTCTTTAGGCACCTGGTGGAGAATGGATGAGGCTGTCCAGATTCGACTGCAAGGTCATGAATGGCCTCAGAACAAGTTTTCCTGAAGCCACCAGACTGAAACTAAGCTGCAGATGTCCTAGTGAGAAGCGAGAAGAGTAGCACTGGCCTAGAGGACTTTGGACCAAGACTTCTCTTCAAGACAAATACTTTAAGGTCTGGGATATATAGCAAGAGGGTTGGTTTGGGGGTGAGTCCTAAGGGTCATGTGGGCTGAACGTGGAAAAAGCTAAGTCCTGCTACTTCAGGCCACCCTGAGTTCACAGTTGGGAGATTGTCAACATGTGCCTGTACAATTGAGGCCAGGGTGGTTGGTAAGGCCTGGACTTCCACTGTAATCTCCATTTGAAGCCTAGCATTCTCACCACTATGCCTGTTACAGAAGTGGACAGGCCAGAGGCATCAGCACCTATCCCCTCTGCTTGAGCAGAACCTTTCCCTTTGTATTTTCAAGTCTTACTACCCAGGCAACTACTCTTGAGTTGAAAGGCACACACTCGAACACTAAGTATTTTCAAAACCTGCTTTTTATTTACATGTGTTTCAGTCAATTACATGCATGTTTTGTTTTTAAACAAGTGATTAGCAAAAAATGCATTAAAATTTTAAAATAGCAATTAAATATACAAAAATATACCTTAMAAAAAACTGCGGATGTTTAAAAATATTCTGCTGCAGAATTCTTAGTGTACAAACACGTCTATGAAAACTGAGGTTCAGCATTTCATAAACCTTATTTTTGAGGGAGTTATACAATATCTAGTGAATAAGCCCCAAAGGGCTAAACTGCAAGACTAAAGTGCCCCCCTTCCTGGCAATGATCTGTCAAGAGACCTAGAGACAAGTTACCAGCAGCGTTCTCTTGGAAGACCAGGCTGTCACCAGGAGGGACTTATTAATGCTGGGCACCCTACCCCATCCACCGAGCTGTGCAAGGGAGGGAGGAACGAACGTGGACGGAGACTAATGGTACACAGCAGGCCTCAAACAGACCTGCCGGGCTGGAACTGGCCTAGGGTGCTGGGAAACTTTGTCAAAGCACAAACAGAAGTCTCTTGACATTGGTGGGGCCCACATTCTAGGTTACACCATGTCTATAAAGCAGCACGGGTGGTCTCCCTGACCCTGTGGCCACAGGCATGAGGACTAGATTGGAAAGCCAGAAGTGTAGGTGCTTCATTTAAAAGTGGAATTAAGTGCTTTGCATCTTGCAACATTTTGGGCTGTAAAGCTGATCGGGAATTTCCCCTCAATTGGAAGCACAATCCATGGCACATAGGATCTTGTTCATCTTACTAAAGAACTATGATCTGGTGTTTTCCAGTTATCACATGCAGTTTTCAGAATTTACATTGAGTTTAGGTATCTCCATCTCTATTACTTAAGGAATTCCTAACAGGGAAAGACTAACCAAAGCCAGATATTCCACAAGTGCCTGAAGGGTGGAGTTTATCACAAAATTTCTAATCAAAGTTCAGGTTAGAGTGGGCCTAGTTGCACTTTAATTAGGCAGACAGATACCATAAAGGCTGATGAGAGGCACTGGGTGGCTGTTGGTGAGTGAGGCACAAGTCTACCCTTCCCCAGGGGTGCCTGGAGGAAGCAGCTTCAACTTTCATCTCCTTAAAGGGCAAAAATGAAAAGATTATGGTAATTTCTTATACCAAATGGAAAAGTGGTTGGGTGAGGGGAAATTCTCTAGGAAACATTTGCCTCTGAGTACACAGATGAAGATGAAAGAAAAGGAAGCCAATCTGGAACTTGCTTATGGACATTCAGACATAGCAGCCAGCTGACTGGTAGAGGCAGAGACATCTGCACTACAAGATAAGCCTTTAGTTTCTATTCAAACTCCTTCCTCTGAGACACTGGCACTCTTAAGAAACAATGGCAGTTACAGGCAGACAACACTAAACAAACCAGATGGGGTTGGGGCACACTGCACATATAGCTTGGGGCTGAGGAGCTGGTCTTGCTTGAGCCTGCACTGATCTCACACAACAGGAAGACTATCTGAAAACTAGTGCTCTTGAATTAGCTGGACCATTGGCTTAAGGGAAGGATTGCAGTTGCTGATTCACATAAGAAACTATATAGTTCCAGTATGTAAACATCAAATAAAAAACACCTTATTCAAAAGGAATGTGGTGCAAAAATATCCCCCAGTTCTGGGCTCACCTTTTAAGAGATTCTGACTAATCAAATGACTCTTCCCACACGAACAGGAATGTCCCTTTAATAAGCCTGTGTGTTATAACATGAGCAAAAAAACTCCAATTACCCATACATTTGCACATGTGGAATGTGTATGCATGAATAATCTCTGGAAAGCTATGCAAGGAACAAAAACCAGTGGGTGCTCATGTGCTGAGGAACTGGGTTTGATGGAGTCAGGAGTGCAAGGAAGAAAATTTTTAACTGTTTTGTGGGATTACCTATTTAAAAAGTTAAATCTAGAAAGGAAGACAGCATTGAACAACCAAGTTGGGGTGCAGTGGGGGAAATGACAGATGAATGTGACCAAGGAAGATCAGGAGAGGAAAGGGAGACAGGTGAGTGCTAGCCCAGGTAAAGCCCCTGCAGCTTAGGAAGCTCTTGAGCCTGCATGACTCAGATATTATGTGGATGAGCAGCCCCCTGTCCCTAGGCCTGCTGCTCACCAGGCTCTGGACACTGGCTAATCTTCCCAAGAGGTGGCAAGGACATTGTTAATGCAGTCCCCAGGTGGTGAATGAGGAAATGAGGCTTTGAGACAAGCCTGCAGAATGGCACAAGGCAAGTGAATAGGAAGGGGGTGACTTAAATTACTTCAAGTGCTTCTGCCTGGAGCTCTGGGATACCTCCCTGTGCATCTCCTAATACCCAGGAAGCCTCTCAGAAAATAATTTCTACAGTAGTTCATAGTAGCTTAAAGTGGGACCTGACAATGGAGACGAGATGTGGAGTCATGAAGAGACATGGCCCAATGTCATTTCTGATGGAGCCAAGGGGTTTGGCACAAGGGAAACAGATCTTGATTTATTAAGAACTAGGTAGCTGGCAATAGTGGGAGGTCCCCTGTATTCCTTAGCCCAGACCTCCAGAAGCACTTGTTCCCATTTGGCCAGTTCTGTCTTGTCCTGCTCCTTGGCCAGAAAAGTACAGGTTGCAAGGACTTTATCTGCCAGTGATGGGCCTAACTAAATCATACTTGGCAAAGAAAAGCAGCAGATGTCAACTTCTAGGGTCTTATGCTGATCCAACTAGGAACTGGGCTGGGTCTGTTCCCTGCTTCTAACATCAGCTGAATTCAGTTGGCCTCTAGCAATAACTAGATAATGGTTTAGCCACAGAAGGGCTGAGTTATGTTCCACTAACCCACAGCACCCAAGTGACATCCAATCTTTGAGCTGCTTAAGACACTGACAAATCACACCAGCTAGTGGTCCAAGAGTAGATCAGATTCCCCACATATCTACACCTGGTGGGGGACCCAGGTGTAGGGACTGTATGGCTAAGAGTTGCCATAACTACTGTTAGTGATGCAGCAGGATGCCACCAAGCCAAGAGATCACTAAGAGCAGAGGAATACTCTTGTTGACAGTTCAGCTTCCAGCCCAATGCTAGCAGAAGGAATTCCTTTTAAGAAGCACTTTGCATTCACAAGTGCTGTGATGGTGAAGTTAGTGGCACTTCATTCAGGCACAGCATATCCAAGATGAGGCCCAGTGCAGAATACAGAGCATTCTTGTCCTTTCCTCTAAAGGCTCTGACTATTTAGGGTCTGCACCTTAGCCTGCCTGGAGCTCTTATGCAGTGAGATGAGATGATTTTGTCTTGGCACAAATCCAGGGACTTCATGAGGCTATCTCCTTAGTACTAATGCATAAGGACAGAAAAGGTGGCAACTGAAAGGCTAGAGTCCTAGGAAAGTTGTAAGTGGCAATGATTTGCACTGTAGGTCAGAAGGGGAAAAATTTCTTTCCTATTGGAGCCCCTTAAAAAAAGAGGCAGCAACATCTGTCCCAAGGTCATGCCATGGAAACTGGTGGATGCTGGCCGTTAATGAGGCTGGGCTAGCAGTAAGCCCACTTAACATTGGTCACTGAAAACATTTCACTGTAAACTGGGTGTTGCAGCATTCAACTCTATCATGCTATGAACAGAACACAAAAGGAGGGTGAAAGTCGCAGTGTATAAAGAGTTCTCAAGAGGGCCAAACAGGCTAAGGCGTTCATATAAAAATAGTTCACACTTCTCTTGCCCTGTTTAGGCAGCAGTCCAGTTGGCATACGAATAGGTCACACATAGGAAACGGCCAATTCTGACCAACTGCACTTGTAATTTTCCAAACTGGATTCTGCCCAGCACTTTTCTAAGCAAATGGGAATTTTCTTCCTCATCTGACTCAAGCCACCTGAGCCAAGGTCAGGTTCCCTCTTATGATCGTAGAGGCTGGATTCCAGAAAAAATTCCTGGAGACATGCCATGAGTACAGCAGCAATGCCTTCTCCATCCTCTCCATATCACGCAGACTGTATTCCAGTGAAAAACTCTACTCACACCTGTGGGACAGAGTGGAGTAAAGCAGTTGATGAAGTGTTGCGGCACCTCCTATGATGGGATGGGAGGGGGAGAGCAGGCTGTGGAAAAGAACGTTCTGTCTCATCCACTGCTACTTCACATGGCTAGTTTACACAGTATTCACAGATCCTAATAGACTGAGTCATTTCTAGAAAAGCTGGACAGAAAGAGCCAAAGAGTAGCATGCATCTCCTATGAAGACACTTTCAGTTGGTGATCACAAGTTCAAATACTGAGGCACACACTAAGGGTAGCCAGCCCTATAGGGGCTTCCTGAAACTATTTACAATTCCGCATGGATCACCGGCTTCAGGATTCAGAATTATGTAGGGAACTTACTTGGGGTAGACTTTAAAAAGTCAATGACAGGCATTTTTTTTTTCCTTAAGTAGAAACAGCACAAGAGAGGGGAAAGAATAGAGTGAGGAAAGAACAGGAGAGGCAAAGGGGTCAGTATTCTCTTCATTCAGCTGGGCCAGGAGGACTGGCCTTTGTCAGTTGCTCCTCTTTAGGGCCATCTGAAGGGCTCACAGCAGCTTCACCTGCGCCAGTGGGCCAAGGCCAGCACTACATTGGCACCATACTGTGCTTATAGGGATGTAGGCAGAACCTTGGAGCCCCCTGGGTTACACAGGGACAGTGTGGACACAGGCTGTAGCCCTTGCTGGGGCTCCTGACAGGCCTAACTGGTGAATGGGAGGAGGAAATGGTAAGAGGAAATGACTTCTGACCAGGCCTTTCCAAGCACATCTAATATTTTCAGCTTAGATGATTTGATAGCAAGTATTGGTAGCAAGTGAACTTGGGACAGATAATGGTGAGGGGCACTTCTGCCCTTGGGTTCCAAGATGGACTTATAAAAGGAACATAACTGAAAAGCTGTGGGCACTGCCTCACCAACCACTGGCAGCTACCTGTGTTTTGGCTGGTGTAACCACTGGTTTTACTCAGTTCCCGGCTGCCAGGAGAGTTTGTGGTCTGCACAGGAGCTCATCTGTCCACAGGGTAGGGGCGTGGCTTTAAAGACGATCCCTCAGTTCCCTTATCTTACACCTGTGTTTATCTTCCCTTCTGCTTGATAAAGAGATAGAGTGTAATGGAGTTAGCAAGAGACCCTCATGAAGTTTCTGGAATCAAACCTGTAGACTCATCCACTCCTCTTCTCTTGGCCATGGGGTAGTGTCAGAGTGCTTTGGTTGTCACAAGACCCAGATGCCTAGATTGCCAGCCTGGCTGACTCAAGAGTTCTTCGTGAGGAAAAAGAAGCGGCAGTTAATGCCCCAGGTAGAGAGCAGCCAAGACAGAGACTGCTTGTGTTCCTCCTGGCTCCACACAGATCTCGTATTCAACAACAGTCTGATCCTTGCAGTGAGCTATACAATGTTCTCTGCCCCAGGCAGAGGTCCCTGGGGGGGCCCATGATCCTGCTTATTATGCAGTTGGGCCAGCTGCAGAACTGGCATGTTGCACAGTGGACACACTTTCCGAACTTCCAGCCACTTAATAAGGCACCTGCAGAATGAAACAAGGTGAGGGGAGGGAGATGTTAGTCCCATACTAATAGCAGCTCCTGCAGTCATCTCACTGTTGCCAAGGATAGTGAACATGTCTGCCACCTAGAACCCAAGTGTGAGGAGTCTGGTATATGGTCTCAAGGAGCTCCACTATAGGTGGAGAAGACATGTCACTCTCTGAAGGAATCAGACCCTCCTGTTTTCCAAAAGGTGGTATTAGGAAGCCAGTTGGTGTGTTATACCCTCAGTTTACCCCCCACAACTTCTTTTTCTGGTGGGGGTACCAGGGATTGAACTCTGTGGTACTCGACCATGGAGGCATATTCCCCAGCCCTATTTTGTATTTCATTTAGAGATGAGGTCTCACTGAGTTGCTTAGTGCCTCACTTTTGCTGAGGCTGGCTTTGAACTCATGATCCTCCTGATTCAGCCTCCTGAGAGGCTGGAATTACAGTCATGTGCCACCATGCCCGGCTACCCAGGACTTCTTAAAGAGCAAAGTACACTGAGGAGGGAAATAGGAAGCAGGAAAATAAAATTTTCTAGTAGAAATACAAAACACATAAAATTGCAAGAGAAGGGAGATATTAATGTCTGTGGTAAGGAGGAGATGGCCCCACACTACCATTTATATACAGACTATTTATTTTGATTTAAAGTAACTATGGTTTTGATTAAAATACATTTTTATGAGATGGAAACTATTGTTGGAAAGTTCCATCTAAATAGTTGTTTATAATCTGGGTTCCAGAGAGGTGTAGGCTTGGCTGACTCTCTGCCTGAGCCCTGTCGTGGTAGTCACATTCCACCCCCTTCACCCTCCTAAATGTCACGAATACACACACCTGCCTCACAGGGTGCTGTCAACTTCCTGCATTACAGACCAACTGAGAAGCCATCAAGCTTGTCTGGCATTGCCACATAGCCCACACTGAGTTGGTTGATATGCCTCAAGGTCAACTCCCATTAAATAATTCCATGCCAGTACTCACTTTCTGTGGAAGGCATGCTTACATGGACAAATCCCTAACTCGTCCCGAGGCTTGAAGTCTTCTAGACATACTGCACAGAGCTGAAAGACAAAGTCACAAATGAGACCAAGTGTCTGGTAGGTACTCACCCAAGCCACAGAGCAGAGCTCAGGCTCCCCAGGGCCAGCCATTTGAAGAAATTTATAGTGTCTCACAACTCTTTACAGGAAAGAAACCAACTGGAATGGTAAGGCCCTCTGAAGAAGATGCCCATGCTCTTCCTGTTGCACATTTAAAGGTGGTAGGCAGACGGAGAGACAGAAAACAAGTAGAGGTTCCTTTATTCTGTACATGAGAGAAGTGTGACAGGATTCCTCTCATACATGCAGGCTTCACCTTGTAACTTGCATGATGTGACCAGGGACTGACTTTCCCAGGGGATGCTCTGCCTGATCAGCAGCACGGTCCCAGCTCCCAAGTACTCACTGAAGGGCCTGCTCACATCCTGGGCAACTCTTGCTTCAGTTTTTAAGGCACGAATTGCAGTAACATGCTATTTATAGTTCTTAGAGCTGCCATGTGGCACTGTCCTTCTATCAGAGTCTGTCTTTGTCAAATTAAATGTTATTACAAGTTTCACTTACCAAATTATGTACATGGGCCAGGATTGCTCTCTGACAGATGGACAGTTTTCACTGCTTTCATACTTAGTGCCTTGGATACATGTATCATTACATTTACCCATCTTACAGATGAGGAAACAAACGTAGCAATAATCATGTTGGGGAGAGGCCAGGCTTGGTGGAGTTGAGGAGCAGCTAGTCCTGGCTGGGGACTCAGGTCTGTTACATTGATGTGTTGCTGAACCCCTTCTGTCTCCTGCTCAATAGCTGCATTCTTCTTTGCTTGTTTTCCTGTTCATCCCCAGGGATCCTGGCTCAGGCTATCACTATTTCCTGCCCTGACAGCAGACACGGTTTTGCTGTGATCAGCTTTTTAACCTGTAATATGTAACCCAGTCTTTCTAGGTTACGTGTGCCTATAGCCAGTGCTGTGAATGTCAGTCTTCCAATACCCCTGTTGTGGCAGTTACTGGGGCCTTTTGTGTACAGCAGACAGGATCTTCTCAGGAGGAGAATGGACAAGAGTGCCCTGTAAGATTCAGCATGCCACCAAGACTGCAGGAAGGAAGAAGGCAGGATAGGTGTCTGGCCTGGGCTTGGACACCTACTAGCTTTGTGTTATTACAAGTTGTGGCCTCTGTCTTCATAATTACTGTTCTTTACCTATAAAATGAGGACATTACCTGTCCTGCTCCTCACTGAACTATATAAGGTTGGAAGGATATAGTAAGGCAGTCTATCAATACCAATTGTCTATTATTGTTTAAAATTTGTGATGAGAGCATTACTTTCAAGTCCATTTTTGTTTTCTGGGGCAGGGTTATCTTTTTGGGCCTCAGCTTCTCATCTATAAAGGCAGAAAATGCCCTCACCTTCTAAACTGGGTGAGCAACCCTGTGGCCTTCAAGAGGAAGCTTCCCTTAGCCTAACCTTCTGAAACAGGGTTAGAATTATCTTCTGGAAGTTCAGTACTAACTCTACTGAAGTATGTGAGACACATTGCTCATTTTTATAAATTCTAGGATCCAAATTTGTCACCTTTTTCAAAATGGAGTTTGTTATGGTTTTTAATGTGCTATTATGTTCGACATAAACAAATTCTAAAATTATATTGGGCTAGTGTTGTGGCTCAGTGGTAGAGCACTTGCCTAGCATGTGTGAGGCATTGGGTTCGATTCTCAGCACTGTAATTAATAAATAAATTAAATAAAGGTCCATCAACAACGAAAAAAAAATTAAAAACACCCTCATAAACAAACAAAAACTATAGATGCCTGAAAACAAACAAACAAACAACAATAAATACAACACATACACACAGAAGATAAATTCTGACATGGTAAGTGCTAAAGGTGACCAAAAATTAAAGGCAATAATAAAAAGACAAAAGCCTCAAACTGGACTTCCTGGAAGATTCCCCAGGGCCAGAGTCATTTAAAAATTTTCCTTTATAGAGCATATTTTGCAAATGACCTTTACTTTCAATGACAGATTGTTTGTATCCAAAGTGATTTCCTATCACCTTTATAAATACTAAGCTATAATTCTCATATCATCATATTTACTCCTTTAAATAGGTATAGAATTCAGCAGGGTTTTTTTTTTTTTTTTTGTTGTTGTTGTTGTTTTTGGTACTAGAGATTGAACTGAATCCAGGGGCACTACTGAGCTGTATCTCCAGCCCTCTTTGTTTTTTATTTCAGACAGGGTCTTGCTAAATTGACAAGGCTGGCCTCAAACCTGCAATTCTCCTGCCTCAGCCTTCTGAGTCACTGGACTCAGGAATGTACAGATGGGTACCACTGTGCCTGGTCAAAGAACTCTTCCCTCTCTGCTCCTAGTACTGGGCATCAAACCCAGGGCCTTGTCCATGCTAGGTAAGTGCTCTACCACTGAGCTATATTCCCAGCTCCTAAAAGTTTTAAAACACATCCAGAGTTGTAACCCCAGTGATTCAGGAGGCTGATGCAGGAGAATCACAAGTTTGATGTCATCCTGGCCAACTTAATGAGAACCTTTCTCAAAATAAAAAAATAGGGCTGGGATTGTGGCTCAGTGGTAGAGCGCACACCTAGATGCAAGGCCCTGGGTTTGATCCTCAGCGCCACATAAAAATAAATAAAATTAAAGTATTGTGTCCAACTACAACTAAAAAATAAATGTTAATAAAAAAAATAAAAGGACTGGGGATGTAATTCAGTAGTAAAGCACCCTGAGTTCAATCTCCAGAACCAGGGAAAATAAAAAATAATATATTAACTCTCTGCCACTATTTAATTCCAGAACATCTGCATCACCTCCCTTATCCCAAAACACCCATAGCCATAAGCAATCCCTTCCTATTTTCCCGTTTCATCAAATTCTGGCAACCAACCACTAATTCTGTCTTAACAGATTTCTCTATTCTAGACATTTTATGTAAATGGAAGCATAAATATGTGGTATTTTGCATTTGGTTTCTTTTCCTTGCTGTCTTTAAGGTTCATCCATACTGTAGTACTTCTTTTTTTGGGGGGTTACTGGGGCACTTAACAACTGAGTTATATCCCCAGCCCTTTTTTTTTTAAGTACTGTTAATTTTTTTTTTTTCATGTCTTTTTTTTTTTTTATTGGTCGTTCATAACATTACATAGTTCTTAATACATCATATTACACGGTTTGATTCAAGTGGATTATGAACTCCCCAGCCCTTTTTTATGTTTTATTTAAATTTATGGTCTCACTGAGTTGTTTAGGCCTCACCAAATTACCGTGGCTGGCTTTGAACTCATGATACTTCTGCCTCAGCTTCCCAAGCCACTTGGATCATAGGCCTACGCCACTGAGCCTGGCCTTCATTCATTTTCATAGTTAAATAATGTTCCCTTGTATAAATATACCACATTTTGTTTATCCATTCATTGGTTGGTGGCCACTTGGGTTGTTTTACATTTTGGCTATTGTGAATAATGCCACCATACATATCAGTACATCTATTTGATTGCCTGTTTTCAATTCTTTGGGGTATATATGAAGGGGTAGAATTATGGGTTATAGAGAGTAACTATTAATTTTCTGAGGAGCTATCAGACTGATTCCCAACGTGACTGAATCATTTTACATTCCTACCAGGACTATATATGGGTTCCAATTTCTCCACATCATCACTAACATTTATTATTGTCTTTTTGATTATGGTTATCCTAGTGGGTATAAAGTGGTCATTTCCCAAGTAACYAATGATAAATTATTTTTTGGCTATTTGTATTTCTTCCTTGGAGAAATGTCTATTCAAGTCCTTTTGCCCATTTTTTAGCTGACTTATTTTTCTTTTTAGTTATGAGTTCTTATATATTTTAGATATAAATCCCTTGTCAGATAATCAACTTGTTTTGACAAAGGTGCAAAAGCATTTCAATGGCAGAAGGATAGCCATTTCAATGAATAATGTTGGAGCAACTTCAAGTCCACAGGCGTGAAAAGCACATACTACCTAAATTACAAGTAATAAGAAAAAAAATTTGATAAACTGGAGTTAAAGACTTTTATTTTGCAAAAAGCCCTGTTAACAAAGTAGCAAAATATGAAGTCAATACCCATAAATCAAATACACTTCTATACATCAGCAATGAATCCTCTTTTTTTAAAATTTTTTTTTAAAGAGAGAGAAAGAGAGCATTTTTTTTTCTTGCTTTCCTTTTTTTTTATTTTTTATTATTGGTCTTTCAAAATATTACACAGTTCTTAATACATCATATTACACGGTTTGGTTCAAGTGGGTTATGAACTCCCAATTTTACCCTGTATACAGATTGCTGAATCACATCAGTTACCCTTCCATTGATTGACATATTGCCTTTCTAGTGTCTSATGTATTCTGCTGTCTGTCCTATTTTCTATTATCCCCCCTCCCCTCCCCTCCCCTCCCCTTTTCTCTCTCTACCCCTTCTACTGTAAATCATTTCTTCCATTTGTATTATCTTGTCTTACCCCTCCTTTCCTCTTATATGTCATTTTGTATAACCCTGGGGATCGCCTTCCATTTCCATGCGATTCCCCTTCTCACTCCCTTTCCCTCCCACCTCTCATCCCTGTTTAATGTAAATCTTCTTCTCAAGCTCTTCATCCATACCCTGTCCTTGTTGACTCCCCTTATATCAAAGGAGTCATTTGGTATTTGTTTTTTAAAGATTGACTAGCTTCACTTAGCATAATCTGCTCTAATGCCATCCATTTCCCTCCAAATTCTATGATTTTGTCGTTTTTTAATGCAGAGTAATACTCCATAGTGTATAAATGCCACAGTTTTTTTTATCCATTCATCTATTGAAGGGCATCTAGGCTGATTCCACAGTCTTGCTATCGTGAATTGAGCTGCTATGAACATCGATGTAGCAGTGTCCCTGTAGCATGCTCTTATTAGGTCTTTAGGGAATAGACCGAGAAGGGGAATAGCTGGGTCAAATGGTGGTTCCATTCCCAGCTGAGAAAGAGAGAAT